GATGTGAAGGAAAATCTGTTTTAGGACTAGAATGTTACATCTTCCTGCCCTTGTGGCGTTGAGCCACCACTGGAATACAAAGCAGAATGGAAAAAGGTGTGTGAAGTACCTTATCCCCTGAAAAATGCAACTTATTTTTGCTGAGTGCATTTGGCAAGGTGCTGGCGTGCTGCCACAGCCACTCTAACAAGAACCAAGAATAATCGGAATTTAAAAAAATTGTTATATCACCCCATCAAAATTTCCTGCTCACACTGTTCAGTCATTTATAGTCACTTCCACATCCCTTAGTGTTGAAAAGCAATATATAATGCTCCTATATTTGTCATCTCTTCCCGGGTGGATGTGATTGAAGCCTCTCCACGCCAGGATTTGCTGCTCGCAGTGCAAATTACCTATTTCTGGGAATCTGAAGGGATTCTGGGCGGGAGAGGAGCGCTCCAGGTGGGAGGGGAGTGTCCCACACCGGATTCCCAGCCCGTGGCACTGCTGCTCAGGGCTCACAGCTGGGACAGGCTGGGCACCAGTGTGGTCACTGAGCTGAGAATAGGGACAGCAGCACACACGGAGCTCTTTGGGGAAAAAAGGCCAATTTATTGTACAGACAGCCCGGATTTAAAGTGTGTTAGTGCAGCCAGGACAGGACAGTAGTTCGTTGGACAATTGGGAAAAACATTCCTGGGACAGCACCTCAGGATGGATCCCACGGGAAACACACCAGGGGTTAATCTTTATTATGAATTCCATTCTGTTTTTCACCATGTTATCACTCTGGGAGACTCCTCCCTAACTGAAGCTGCAGTCAGCTTGTCAGCCTGGGAATGGAGCTGAGAGACAGGAGAAATCCAGGCCTGGAAAGGATTTCCAAGCTGCAATTCCCTGGCTCTGTGAATGTGTGTGTCCACACACCAGCACCTCCCTCTGCCAGGCACGGGACTAATTAACCCTAATTGAACAGCTAATGAGCACGGTCTGTTCCCTTTGTGGCCGCAGAGCCACCTGCAGCCCTTGGGCCGCGGGGATTTCCTCAAAGGCAGAATGTTAGCCAGGCAGGGAAATGTTCCAGTTCCTCAGGTGTGCAGAACGGGAGAGTCAGTGCGAATACACCCTGTCAAACCCAGCCTTGAGGAGGGAAGCAGTGAGTCTAAACGCAGCTTTTAAGAGAGAAGAGGAAAGGGTGCTGTGAACCTCGGGGCAGCACTTTGTTTTATTTATTTATTTGTTTATTTATTTATCTGTGGGGCAGCGCACTGACCCACCCCCCGCAGCACAAATACTGCGTTAAACCCCAGGGGAGGCCAGCGGGGCGTCCCAAAAATCCTGCAGGAACGTGCTGGTCTCTGTGCTGAGGCTCCCGGGGCAATGTCTGTGTGCCCACCCTGCTCCCCACAACGCTGGGGTCGAATTTCCCCCCCGGGCAGCCGGCCAGTGCCTTCGTGCTAACAGTGAGAAATTATTGGAATAGAAAGAATGAGAAGTTAATGCCCCAGGGACTCGGTGCCAAGCCACTGATTTCAGGCAGACCTGGGCCAGTCCTGCCAGCTCGCCAGAACGCAGATTTCTGGAACCAAACCACCCCAGGTAAATAATTAATACGCCTTTCCTTACAAACGAACACAACGCAGTGAGAGCCAATTGTTTTTAAAGTCTATTAAAGAAAAGAAAAGAAAAGAAAAGAAAAGAAAAGAAAAGAAAAGAAAAGAAAAAAGCTGAACATTCCCACCGTGGCCATGGGGAACAGCTGATGGCAGAGGCTGGGATATCCATGCTGGATCCCAGAATCCTGGGAGTTTGGATCTTTCTGTGCTTCCTGGCACTGACCCCCAGGAGAACACTGCTTTTGACCCGGGGCCTTGGAGAAGGTTTCCAAATTTGAGTGATGGAGTTAAAGTCACTGGTGTGTAATTAGAATAGAAGTGTGTGATTGCACATGGTGAAAAGTTTTGAATTTGGGGTTTTAGAATATAATAATAGGTGTGGGACAAGATGGAGGATTTTGAGTGTTGTCTCTTTCTGTCTTCTTCCTTCACGATTTCAGGCAGTAGTTTCTGGTTGCACAGTCAGTGCTGCACTGCGGGGCACGGGAGTTTGGTTATTGGGTCAAAAGTATCAATAATAGAGGTGTTAGCCTTTAATTAAATTTAGTTAGGCTTTAAAAGACCTTGTAACCAGCTCGGTTCAGCTCCATTTTCACTCACTTTTAGCTCAATAGCTAGAAGTGCTAAAAAACTCTCTGTACTTTAAATAAAATAAAAAAAATAAATAAAGTAAATTTTAAATAAATAAATATATACTTATATATATATTTAATATTATTATATTATATTTATATATATTTAAATAAATAAATATATACTTTAAATAAAATTAAAAAATAAAATAAAAACTTTTTAAATAAAAAAAAATAATTTAAATAAAATTTAAATAAATTAAATAAATAAAAATAATAAACAACCAAGCCCGAACAAAAATTCTGTCTCTCAAACATTCAATCCTAACTCTAAATGAAAACAAACAAAAAAAACCCCCCAGCCACTCTCACACCCGCAGCTGGGTCTCCCTGCCCAGCTGGATTTAGAGCCCAGACTAGGCTGGGGCTGTCCACAGTATTCCTGTGCTGCAGGAACTCCCTCCTCAGCATTTCAGGGACGCTCAGCCCCCCTGCCCTGCCAGCCTGGGACATCTCTGCTCTTACAAAACTCCTCACGTCTCATTTCCTCCCCCTCCCTCTTTCCCACAGCACAAAAAGCTGCTTCTGCAGTTTTAACAAGTCCTTCCACTGGTAACAGCTGGGGAAAAAAAAGGAACTAAACTTTGAGGAACTCTTCCAGGAAGGCAGAGGGGTGGTTAAAATGAGTTACCCGAAGCTTAAAGATAATTTTAAAGGATCTTCCCTTACGTCCCCAGAACCTGTTGAAACTCCAGAGTGCTTGTGTGCTGTCAGGGGAAACCCTCGGATAGGCAGATCTCTTTGAATGCAAAGGAATTTTGCTGTCTGGTGATCAAGAGATGATTAATGGAAAGATAAACTCTCTGAGAAAACAGGCAATTTATGATCCAAGCCTCTCCTGACGGGCACACGTGTTCCCATTAATTTAATTCATGTTTCATTAGCAGTCAGGATTATGAAGTAATCTGGTATCCAGACTCAGGAGCAGGGAGCGTGGTAAGCAAGGACACACGGGCCTGCTATAGAGAAGCAGCTGCGGTTTCAAACCCTAAAACACATTAAATTGGAAGGACAGAGATTTTCTATGACCCCAGCACTGAGTGTACTCTGATTCACTGGCGTGCCCAAAAGCAATCATCTTTTAAATTGATAGCAAATGATCCGGCCTTGAGCAGAGACCAAGCAGCCTTCAGCTTTTGTTCTCAGCTCAGGGGAAAGGAACATTTCCTCCCTTGGCTTTCCATGTAGAATAAATTGCATTAAAATCGCATTCATTTTTCAGTCGTGCACCAAACCCCCAGGCCTGTTACGTGGAGAGGGCCCTGACCTGTTGCTTCAGTTTGAAACTCTCTTCCCTTGCTGTGCTCCTCCCAAAATGACCCGTTCTCACCCAGGATTCACACCTGTGCCCCAGCCTTGCTGCCACACCTGTGGACAGGTGTGAAAACAGCAGCGTGGGGCTGTTCAGGGAGGAGCAGAGCGGGTCAGGACAACAAAGTTGTTCTTTCCCTGGGTGAAGCCCGGCACAGCTGGAGTCTGCTCGGCCCCTGACCGCCCAAAATTGGAGCCTGGTCTCTGCACAGTTTCTTTTTATCAAAGAAAAGAAAGTTTGTGGGGAGACAGAACAGGCCTGCCTGCTTTACACCGTATTTCTGACAGAAAAACAGAGACACCAGCGAATTTCTGCTCCACGACTCATGTTCTGCAACTCTTCCCAGTATCATTGTTTAAAGAAATCAAAGAATCCCTTTCCTTTCCTTTCCTTTCCTTTCCTTTCCTTTCCTTTCCTTTCCTTTCCTTTCCTTTCCTTTCCTTTCCTTTCCTTTCCTT